AGGCTACCTGCTGACCCTACTCCACAACTGGACCACAAGCACTTCACCGAAGCAGAATATGGGGGTGGGGTGGGGAGGAGACTTCTCTGTATCAACCACAGCCCTACTAGTATATTTCATTAGTAACATTTAATTTAGAAATAAGATTCGGAGATGAATACTAAATCAAGCAGAATGCTAGCAAGCATGAACCAACACCGTCCCAGGCAAACCAAGACATACAGCCACCCTCCCCTTCAGTGGCTTTGGCAAGATTCCTATCCTGTCCTTAAGCATATAAGGGTTTCAAAGTTGAAAGGTAGCTTAAAGATCACTGAACTCATTTGTCAATTGAGCAAAGGAATTAAGAACAGAGGAAGAAGTAGGTGGAGAACCTCAGACTTTCTGACAACCAATTTGGTATCTTTTCTATTATACCCTGTTGCTCTAAGTACTGCAAAATATATAGTAAAGAGAGATTCATTCTTTGGTATGCCCTGTATCATGCATACTCACTTATAACCCTGCCTGTATTATGAGATAATCTTCAGTTTTTCTTGTAAAATAATAGAAATATTATAGTGTAATCATTTACAGATTTTGCTTGAAGACTAAGAGCATGGGGATGATGTCTATTTCCTTACAACATTTATCTTATAACTTCCAATACTTTGTTACATGATGTTAGTTATTTTTAAAACTAGGTTTAAGTCTCTAATGAGTCTGTTTAATACCCCTTAAGGATTTTGTCTTAATGCTTTCTGAAGAAAGAAATTAAAACTGGCAAATCAAGCGTAATATGAGCATTAAAAAAAGAGCAGAAAATTTGTACCTAATAATAAAAATCCCAATAACTTCTTACCTGATTTTTTAAAGCAACATTATCACTCTTTAGAGATGTTTTATTTGATTTTCTTTCCTTGCCCATGATAATGTAATACTTAAAGTAGTTAAAACATTCATTTCCATAGTGGAGACTATGGAGAAGCAAAGGTAAGGAAAGGGGATTACTTGGAAAGAAACAGTGATTTAGAATTGGTAAAATCTCCACAGAGTTCCTCCAGCAAACAACAGCTGTTTCTCAGGTTCTTACTTAAGACACACATTAAGTGGCTATGATCACATCTTCAGATGCAAAGGACTTTTGGACTACAGAAGAAGGGCGTCATCTTTTTATTTTCTTTTCTGCCCTTATTTAACTTCTTTCTTTTTTTTATAGTGGTAGGAAGATTTTATTGCCTTCTCATCTCAGAAACATATTTGCGTACTGGTCTTTCGTTGTTATGCAAATTTGTATTGCATTTGTCACATTCTGCATTTGGAGGAGGATTACAACGTGGCCACTTTTCACAAAGGGGAAGATAAAGAATTGAGTCACAATAAATAAACAAAAAAGTTTGAATTCGAATTGGGAAGATTATTTTATTTTTCTCATCTTTGATTTTGAATAATTAAGTGTATTGTCTCACAATTGATTGTCCAGAGAGCCCAAAATAGTGTAATCATGTGTAGTATGCCGTCCAGGTCTGATAGCCTCACAATCTTTTCATTGATTGAATGGGAGAATGGAAGAGTAGGTGAAAGTCTACAAAAGCTTATTTTAATTAAGATATATCCCTGACTGGTAGACAATCATGTTCAGACATTATCTCATCATTAGTCAACTCATCAAAATATAACCTTTCAAAAATCCTCTGGTTCTTTTCAGTGGCTTTAATGAAGTTATTCTAAGAGCCCAGTGAAAGGATTGAGATCTAGTGTTCGGATAACTGCCATTTTCCTAAGAAATAGACTTTGGGCCTCCTGAGAAAGCAGATCATCTGGTGTGACATTTGCAGCAAGAGAAGTATTATTTTAAAAATTCTGCTATTGAACAGAGAAAACACCAGTTTATTTTGGTCTTTTTTCCCAGCATCAGATAAACAATGGGATGCTAATTAATTATTTGATAGGCAGAAATCTGGGAGACTAAACAATTTTTCATTTACTTGTATTTTTCTTTTTTTTTTCCTGAGGATACTTTTTATCATTTATTTTTATTCTCATAAAAAGTAAACAATCATTATACCTGTATGGGATAAAGTTAATTGTTCATATTTAGGAATTTATGAATATAATAAAAATAAACATTTTAAAAGGATATAATTTTAAGCAGCTATTTTCTTTGTATATGTATGAAATTTTTTTTACATTCATGGTAGCTACTGAAGGATCTTCATGTTTGCTTGGTGTTGCTTGCATTTATAATATCAGATTAAAGGATGCTTCAAATGTAAGAATATTCATTATAGATTTTATAGTTTGGGTGGATTTGCAAGTAATTTCTTATATGCTACTTTTGCTCTGTGTGTGTGGGTGTGTATGTGTTTTAAATCCTATCAATATAATGTTATCTCCAGAGATTGTCTTCCAAATTTACAGTCAAATGTTTTTTGTGATTATAGAAACACGGAAAAGCCTCCAGCTGTATTATGTTATGGTTGTTTGCATTAAGAATTCTGATTTTTCTTTTCCTTGCAATCAGTTTGAGAATCATTCAGTAAAACTTTATATTGTTAGCACCCAAGGATATATCATATTCAATGTAGCTGTTTGAACAGTTCTTTCTTTACTTGATGTGAAGTTTATGTTTGTGGTTGGGTTTTGGCTCTGTTTTTCAAGATTTGTTTAGGAAAGGGATAAATGGAAGGGAAAAGGGGAAAAGGAGAAATACTGCAAATCACTCATTTAATGAAATGCTACATAAATTGGGACGTGTACTGAAAGACAAGGGTCCCATCACAAGAATTTACTAGTCATTTCACTGAAATATTAACTCTGCTCATTAAAAGTAGCACTATTATCGGTCGATATAATTTAATTTTTAAAATATGAACTAAAAAAAGTGTGCTTGAAGGAGAAAAAGAAATTGTGCTTTCTTAGATCTGTGGATTCTACAGTACAACCACCTCTCTTAGGATCTTCTCAGTTCCTCCCCAAGTGTATGGTAAGAACGTCAGAGTGCTGATGAGAAGCAACAGAGTAGAGGTCAGTTAAACATCCGATTCAATGTGTTGTAATAAATATGGAGATAAATCCCCATCCTGCTTCTCAGCATACTTTGTAACCACTGTGTTCACCAGTGTTTAACATCTGGCTATTCAGTAACTGGGAAGTGGTGATTGTCATCAACTGCAAATTTTCAGTATTTTGTGGAAATTGGGCACCTTCGGTTAGTGATGGATTTATAGCAGCTTGGAGCTTCAGCTTTGCACTCTCTCTCAGCCTGACCCTGTGACCCTGTCAAGGCTGGAGCTCCGGTACCCTTGCTTTTCATGGTTGATAGATGACCAGTTGGGCTTTTCTGAAAGGCATTATGATTAACCTTGGCAACTTTCTTTATGCAGAAAAAATGGATATATTGTTTCAACTAATATTTATCTAGCATCTTAATAGGTATCAGATAATGTTCCATATCCAGATGATGCAATACCCATCTACTAGAAGGAGAAGGAGAGGTGGATAGACAATTGTATCTAACAATAAAAATGTAGTCTGAAACATTCTGTAAGAGTGTAAGCATGGAGTATACTAGGAGTACAAACAGTAGGGCCATCTATTCCAGATTTTGGAGGAAGAATAAAAGAAAGAGGAGGGATCAAAGAAACCTTCCCAATAGGGATGACTAGAGGTAATGAGTACCTAGTTCTGGAAACATGGGATCAGCCTCAGAGTGATAGATTACTCTATGCAATGCAGATAATTATGCAGTACAACTATTTCTAAAGTAGAACTGAGGATTCTTCCTTCCTCCACATTCCTCTTTTTCCTTCCCCCCCATTTTCCTTTCTCTCACCCCTCTCTCCTTCCTACCTTCTTTTCTCATCCTTCTCTTTCTCTTCCCCTCCCTCCTTCCTTCATTATGAGCTTAATAAGCACAGAATTTTATTAGTCAAAGTTTTGGTTCATGGGCTAATGTCATCATTGGACAATCCCTGACCCACATTCATTCCTTTACGATGCTATAGGTATATTTATATACACATCTAAATTTCATATATTTCATATAGATGTAAAGTATTAACAATGATGACCTACCTTTTGCTTTTCTCCTATTTCATCTTCTTACCCCTTCTAAAAGATAACCATTATCCTGGATTATGTATATTATTCTTTTTTTTATCGGATCGCTTTGTTTTATACATAACATTTCTAAACAATACACTGCTTAGTTGTTTTTTAACTCAACAAATGATATTTTTCTGTATGTAATCTACTAGTATTTTTTCCACTCACCATTTTACTATGTTTTTATTTGTAACTGATTTCATTCAGTTTCACTTCAATTAATATTCCATTGTATATATGTGCTGCAAATTGTCCATTCTCCTGTTGATGGGCAATTGAGTGGTTTCTCTTTATGTTGTAATGAACAGTGCTGCTATGAATATTCTTTTACTTGCTGCCTAAGACATTATGTGAAAGTTTCTACGGAGTATATACCTGGGAATGGAAATATTGGCTCATAGGGTACACAGAGGTGAAACTTAGAAGATAATCGCACATTGTTTTCCAAAGCTATTGTACCAACTTGCATTCTCACCAGAACTATATGAGAGCTTATGTTGATCCACATCTTCTCTAACACTTGGTCTTGTGAGATTCATTTCTGTCAATCAAATGCCACATAATATATGAATGCTATCTAATGGGATGTGGCTTTGATTAGCACTTTCCAGGTTACTAATGAGATTGCGTATCTCTTAGGTATATTTATTGGTCATGAGTGTTTCCTCTAATCTTTCAATTATAAGATTTTACTAGTCTATATTAATGAATACTTTCTATTTTTCCACTGGCAGTTGTTGGAATATCTTAATCATAAAAAGATATAGTCATTAAAGTGAAAATGACATATGTCAGTACTATACAAAATGGTGGGCACATTTCTAATAAAGGATGTGCAGCCAAACTAATGGACAAATTAAAACAATAGGTAATAATTGCATTTTGAAATTATTTTCATGACTTTTATTTTTTCACAACTTGATGTTTTTCTTTTGACAGAACGGTTTCGAGATTTACTACTTCCGTCATCTAATCAAGACTCCGAGATTCTGCCCTTCATTCAATCTAGAAAGTATCCCAAGTAAGCACTAGGAGTTCACTGGATATTGGGAAGGGGACGGTGTAGTGATGGGGGAGGTTTGCGGGGACAAAAACAAAATATTTTCTTTCTAAGGATTTCTGAAAAAGCTAGAATACCCTAACCTACTTAATGAGGGCATCTCCTGCACTATAATGTCTCAGGCTCCTCACAGCTGGGTCAGAGAAAAAAGCCTTGCCTGCAGTACAGCCCAGCTCTGAGTAGGAATATTTGTAGAGTGCAAACGGTAAATTACCTGCATCGGTGTCTGGTCGTGCCTCTTTTTGCTTGATTCTGTATCAACAGAATGTTGATGTGGGTGATCCCTCATCTGGTTTCCTGGTTTCTATCCTTTGAATGCAAGGATTCATTCATATTGTAATAAGTGGTTTTCAGATAACCACCTGTTAGATATGATTTTAGTAATTTCTGTATATTCTTCTTTACTGTCTTGATAATTATGGGAAGTGAAATCTCCTGACCCTTTCTTATACAGGGCAGACCTTCTCTTCTTTTAGAGGCCACAAGTGTACTTATTGGTTGAAGGAATATGCCTTCATCTTCCCAGAGAATAAGGAAGTAGCATGTTTTTTATTAGGCATCCTTTTCCCAAAAAGCTGATGGATGCCTGTATCTCAATCCCTCCTGTAGAAGCTTGGAGTACCCTCTACTTCATGAATGTCTTACTCTAAGTCTACAACAAGCTGAAGAAGGAACAAACTGGTATCTGATAGAGAAAAGGAAGATCACCAACTTAAGAATTAGAGCTTGGTTTATACACATTTCATCAAAACCAATCACTATGCTAATTGACTCATTCTTTGATTGACTTGGCAATTTATTCAAGTATCCACTGAACTTCACTTTCTAGAATAATTTTTCCCTAATACTTAGCTTTGATAATATTGACTTACCTCTGATAACAATAATACAGAATCTGAATTATCTGCTTATTGTCTTTGATATTAATCCAGATTTAATCTCTAGCAATAATCTTCTAGTCCACTCATGGGGACCCTCCTGAGGGACATACAAGGCCTGGACATCATTCCATGCATACATTACTTTTCATGACTGGGAGCAGGGAGGAGCCTGAAGGGATTGACACATGTCTGTCAGTACTTTTGCCCCCAGCTGCTGTTTGCAGAGGCCAGTGATGCCTGCTCTTCTGCCTCTTAGGCTTTTTATCCACCTGATACCTTTGCTTGAAGAGGGGAATCACAGTTGCTTCTCAGATTACCTATTGGTAATCTGTTTCCTGCTATTTCCCTAGATTTCCTCAGCTGTATGTTCTTACACATATCCTTCTTGCTCTTAGGTTACTTTTCCCATAGTGATGTTATGATATTCTGATATTTAACAGAGATACCATGTGACAATCCTTTGTCAGTGTCTAATCCTTAGGGTAGTTTTTTTGTTTGTTTTGTTTTTTGGGGGACATCTGTGGACTAAAAGAATAAAAGTCATCCATTGATGCCACATACACTGTGTTGGGGTGAGTAAGAGTGCAGACTGCCTCACCAGCTGTGCTTTGTGACTTAGGTCACCTAACCCTCTGTGCCTCAGTTTCCACCTCTATAAAAGGGGAATGATAATAAGACCTACCACTCAGTGGTGTTATGAAGATTAAATAAATTAATAAACAAAAAAATATTTAGAACTGAGCTTGACACATAGCAATACTTCATATCTAGCTGCAAGTGTTATTATTCATTTAAAATTGCATATAGCTTTAACTAGATTTGCATGTTTCCAAACCCATTAGGGAAATAGATTGTTCATTGATCTTGGAGGAGGATAATTCTTATATCAGGATACCTTTATCACTCTGCCCTTAATAATATTTGGGGAAGAACTATTTATTTAATATTTCTAGATTATTGCTAGACGCTGATGTGAGTCACTGCTTTGGTGATCACTTAATATCATTATGAGTTCAGTTTTCTGAACCATCCAATGAAATCATGCTAATTAAAGGCTTCTGGGTCTGAATAATATTTATATAAAAATTCTGGATTAAATACAATTGGCTTATTTAGGTTATAGAATATTAAGCATTTGCATCCTCCCATTGCCCATGTAATGTCTAGTTTGGGAGTAGAATTTTAGGAGGTGCTGATAGAACAGAGAAAGGGTAATAGAATTCCTTTTACGCTGTGCCTAAGAGTGTTAAATTGGTCCAGGGAAGAGCATAGGAGCAAAAACTCTGGGCATGTAAATAATGCCCATGTAAAGGATCCTGAGGTATACGAAGAGACAGTTGTAGTAAGAGCCAGTCAATAAATATAAGGGGGCAGGGATTTGTGTATGTCTAGACCTATTTTAAACTATTTTGGGATTACTCATGGTTTTCAGTATTCTCATTTAGTCTCTCATTTGTATTCACTCTCAAATATACTATCATTTATTCATTACTGAGGATAACTATAAGTCAAAGAATTTGTCATTTCATGACATGCAAAATTTCTGGAAAGCTGAAAATTTCATCAGACCTTTGGTATTTGTTGCTCTCAGTCACAATGTAATAAACCTATTATATGGAGATTATTCTCCCTCACTTTTCTGCTTGTTTTACTGACTCATGAATATAGACTCTGTTAGTGAGAGATGTTTTAAGAGTTAAAATATGGTTTAGGAAACAACTTGTTTGCCCTATATTATATAGTGTCACAGGGTGATGTTTACAGAGCATAGTATAGTCGACCTTCTTTAAGTCAGACTCACTCTACCCTGGTTAATATAAGCTGGAGAGGGGACAGTGGTTATTGGATTGGGGGTAGGATCTCTAGTCAGCATATTGTTCCTATAATCTTAAGCATCTGGTTATCAAAAGACATCTAACAGATAATGAAACAGGATAAAGGGTATATTTTATTTAGGGGAAAACTATTCATGAAGAAGAAAACTGACCAGTTCTTGAAATGTGTGCGTGTGTGTGTTTTAATGGAAAGCCATTTTTTAAAAAATGTTCCCTGCTGGGAAACATTGTTCTAAAATATAGTAATGTTCATTCATCACATTCTTGCATTTGTGATCTTGCATTTGATCCATTGCCAAAGCTAGGCACATCCATTCTCAGTATGTATGTGAAGACATTGCCTCATGAAAATTCTTGGAGCATGAATAGGTGTGACCATTGTCAAAAACAGACAGGTGAATGAAAAGAAGAAAATGAATGTATACTTAATACAAAATAATGTTGTTGATTCATAGGTTACAGGAAAGAGATGGAGATAATGAAACTTGTTTTGTTGCTCATGTCTTAGCTGGTGTCACTGTTACTAACTTTGAAGCATTTAGGTTTATAATGTATTTAAACTAGAAAGTAACTATAAATATTCTTATCCTTACAGCTTGGAGACATAAAATAGTTAAGACATTTGGCATAATTTTACTCACAAATGACTTGTAACCATTTTAGCAATTATGCCAGCAAAACATGATCTAATGGCTCTGGAAATTTCACCATAATATGTATAAAAATATTGTGAAAATGTAGGAATAAAATGTGGCATATCTTTATTTGGTCAAGATCAAGTACTCTGGAATGCTTAATCCCAGTACTCTTTAGAGAAAGAAATATTATTTTTGATAAAATTCAGAATATTCCTTTTGACTCGGTTTGCCACCAAAGGATAACCTTGACTATTTAGACAATAAAAGCAATGCCTCAACCCATTCTCATTTCCAATGGACTGCTTAAAAATGGCTTCAAGTGGTGATATCAGGTGATTAACTGCAAAGCCTCAGAAGACTTTTCTAGATTTCATCTATTCTCCAACTTGTCTTCCTTTCTCTTTCCAAAGAAAATTTTGGGTTCCTCTTCTTCCAGAGGCCTCCTCTCTCTCTTTAGTAATTTTTGTTCAGTCTGTATGTGTGTAATGTATTTGTCACTGGAGCTAAGTTATTCCTATTAATAAAAACACTTAGCGGGGCACCTGGGTGGCTCAATTGGTTAAGCAACTGCCTTCAGCTCAGGTCATGATCCCGGAGTCCTGGGATCGAGTCCCACATCGGGCTCCCGGCTCGGCAGGGAGCCTGCTTCTCCCTCTGACCCCCTCCGCTCTCATGCTGTTTCTCTCTCTCTCTCTCTCAAGTAAAATAAATAAATAAAATCTTTAAAAAAAATAAAAAATAAAAACACTTAGCACTTAACACTTTCTACATTGCCATGATTGTGTTAATGTGCTTTATATGTATTACTTAATCTTTGTTATTTCCCTATGAGTTAGGTAGTACTATTTCCCCAAGTTTACAGATTTTATATATTAGAGGATTTAAAAGGGTTAAGTGACTTATCCAAAGTCATATGGAAGAGCTGGCTTCCAAATTCAAGGTCTGCTTGGCCCCCAAATTACACCTAATTGTGTAATTAGGTGTATCTCATTCATTCATCTGTCCATTTTTCCATTAGTCCATTCTTCAAATGTTTATTGAACAATTACTGTGCACTAGAATCAGTCACAATTACTGAGGATACAAAAATAATGACTTAGCATATGGCTTTGAGGAACCTAGAGACTAGTGGGGGAGAAACAGAATGAGACTTTAATGGAGAAATTAATTATAGCAATGTGATAAGTCCTTTAGTTATAGAGAAATGCACTAAATTCAATGGGAAAAGAGAAGAGAACGTGTCTTCCAGTCTAGGTAATTCATGGCAAGTTTCATTTTCCGTTGGAGTAAAATCTTGACAAATACTATGGAACCAGATGAAGAGGTTTTTAGATGGTACAAAGAACATAGCAGCATAGAGAGCCATGGAAGTGGGTTGTTCATTGAGAGATCACCTGTGGGTATTCTGGTTAAAAAAAACCTTTGTGTATGTGTGAGTGCATGTTTGTGTGTGTGTGTGTGCACACACATGTACATGTGCACATGTATGTACATATGCTCATACATATACACACACTGAAGGGCTGGGGTATAAGGAGAAATGAGAGCAGGGACCACTCCACGAAGGACCTAGATTGCCATTTAAAGGAGCTTGGACTCTGTGGTGA